AATCATTCAGCTGTTTGAATTTGATATTTCAGTTATTTGAAAAAAAAAAGTCTAAAGATGATAACAATGAAAAATTGATTATAGGAGAAATATGTAAAGTATAAAAAAGAAAATAATAAAAAAAAATCGAAATGACCGGAAAATATTTAGAAATTAGTGCCAAAAAAGCCAAGTATTCATTTTAATATATTAATGAAAGTTTGAACGATTGGAAATTATTTCAGCTTTGACTGATCGTAATTTCTTCAAAAACTCCTCATTTATCACATCTAATTAATTAATTGACTTGGATTTACAGTCTTAGTGATAAAAATACATTTCTGCAAAGAAAATTATGGAACTTCGTTTTTTGATCTGTAAATCCAAATATTGGAATCGAAAATTCGGTCCAGTCAATCCACTTATTTCCCATTTTTGTGTGTTAAAAAACTTTATAATGAATTTTATTTTTCGCAAGTTTAAAGTCTTACGAAGTTAATAACAATTTTCAAACGATATTTAATGCAAGATTTAAATCTAAAAATGCCTACATTTCTTACCTAACATTATTAATAAATGCAAAAATCAAAAGTTTAGTTTGCAGATTCCGTATTGGGAATGTCGATCATCGTGTTCCAGTACAAGTACCGGAATGATGAGTACTTCTAGGCAAAATGGTAGCAGTGTGAGCAGTGGTGTGGTACTTGCTGATTGTGATGAGCATTTTCAAAAAGATACGAGCATACAATGTGCGCCAAATAATTGGAAACAAGGCAAATGCATTGGTTCCGGAGCTTTTGGCAAGGTTTATGTATGCGTTGATGTGGATACCGGAAAAGAAGTAGCCCTGAAAAGGTTGATCAGAAAATTATCTAAACAGTAGCATGTAGTTTCAATTTCAAATGAAATTTTATCAGCTGAACTTTTTCTTGCTGATTAAAAGAAACTGCATGCATAAAAATTAAATGTCCAAGCTGGACTATATTCAAGATAGATTACATCTGAAAAGTTAGCTAGTAATTTAACCTAATCTTAATTTACAAAAAAAAAAGAAAAATAATAATGAATTCTTTTTTGGAAGCAATTACTTCGTTGATATTTTATATTTGAATAAATCACTAATGATGACCACACTGGAAATAAATGAAATGTTCAATTTCGGAATGGGTCAAATGCTTAGTGCAGACTGTCAAGTTTGATAAAAGTAGGCTAATTTAAAACACAACAATAAATTACATTCATTCAGATTGCTTGTTCCAAGAAATCATCTTTCAAAGTTAATAAATTAAAAAATAAAAAAGTGTCATGTGATAGATTTATGTCAAAATTTATAGAATGCAATTTATAAAAAAAAATCTGATTGAACAAGATTTCGGATAAAGTTTGCAGCATTTTTTGGAAATTTCATGCATGTCAATATTTCTTGCTATTGCAATATCATCAATGATTGATTAATGGAAAGGAAGAAGAATTCATTAGAAAAAGGAAAAGAGTGAGAGTGCATTTAGAAATTTTTCATGAAGTTTGATCATAAATTTTTTATTTCTCATCAATAACCTTTACATACGGGTTGCTGACATAAATATATTGATTGATTTAAATATTTTGATTTAATTATTAATTAAAATTTCAGGTTCAATATTTGCCGTGGTGATAAACATTTGAAGAATCATATAATCCAACTTGCGAATGAAATTAATTTACTAAGTACCATTCAGCATGATCGAATTGTTCAATATCTTGGCGCACAGCAAATTGATGATTCAATTTGTATATTTATTGAATATATGACCGGCGGATCGGTTAAAGATTGCATTGCAACTTATGGACCGTTGAGTAGCACAGTTGCAGGTAAATATACTTATCAGGTCCTGCAAGGTTTGGAATATTTACACAGAAATGAAATTATACATCGTGATATTAAACCGGCTAATATTTTACGCGATTCTAATGGTAATGTAAAAATTGGTGATTTTGGTTCAGCAAAACGATTACAAACAATTTGCAGTCAACAGGGTGAGCTTTTGTAATAAAATTAGCAAATATTTTCAATTTTTCATTTTATTGTAATGATTATTTTTAAAAAATTTGTTAAAAACAAAAATTCAAAAAAAGGTCTAAATTTTTTTGGATAATAAAATAAATGAATAATCTTTTAAAAAAAGAACTAAAAATTTAATTGTTTTTAACAAAATTAGGTAAATTTTTTGTAAAATTGTTTTTGTAATATCATTTGATTCATTGCATTACCATCACTCTTAACTCACTGTTCAGTAGGTATAAATTAATTAAATCATTTACAAAAGATTACTCACTATTAATTGACCATTTCATGGAAGCAAACATTCCAAGGTATTTTAAGGTTTTCTTATTTAATTTTTTCATCAACAGCTACGACATTTATTGGTACACCAAATTATATGGCACCAGAAGTAGTACTTGGGCGCAGAAGACATGGCCGTAAGGCCGATATTTGGAGTGTTGGTTGTACTTTGGTGGAAATGTTAACAACAAAACCACCATGGGATGATTTGGAACCAATGGCAATCATTTCCAACATTGCCAAACATAATCCCAATTATGAATTACCATTAGAAGTTAATCCTAATTTAGCATATCTTATTAGTATAATATTTGAACGTGAAGTAGACAAACGACCCAGTGCCTCGCAATTGCTCAACAATTTTGTTTTTCATGAATTCTTAAATACTTCCTGAGTATTTTGTTTAATAAAATAGGAGTTATCGCATTCGGCTATCATTTGATTGTTCAAAATCTGTGATATTTTTAGAGCAAGAAAATTTTATTCATGATTTTTTAAAAATGTCTTGAGAAGGAGCTAAATGAAAAGCTATAATCATTTATAAGGTATTTGTAAGATTTATCTGAGAGAAAAATATGTATTTTCAAAGAGTAGAATCATTGAAACCGTAATTTATTCTACTTTAATACTAAAATGTCGCATCACAAATCGTCTTGAACGAAATATAATTTGAATATAATGGTATAACAATGAACTGTATGAACTTATTAAACATTTATTATCTAATGAAATTATTTGGAATAGTATTCACTATACTGCTAGCTTAAGTAATGGTTTAAAGGATCATAAGTTATGCATTTGATGCTATGTATAGAGGTAGTGACTTGAGACGTGAGAATGTTTAATTAAGTTTTTATTTAATATTCTATCAAACTTATCAGATGTGTTCACTTGTCACTTTCATGTATATGACCGTAATGAGCTAACTGATAAGCTCATTGAAGCAATCAGCAGCGACAATTATTTTACTCAAAAAATTATTTATTTCTAATAATCTTACGAAGCTTATGTTCTATTCTAGTTTTTTTTTCGGCAATTTAACGACAATTGTTAGATCATGTGAAACTGAAAGTTAAATTCGAAATTTGAAATTTTGACGGAGAAAAAAGTTATCTGCAATGTTTAAGTGCAAAAGTTCCTAGCAAAATTTCTTAAAAATGAAATTTTTCAAACGAAACGAGAATGATACAAAATTAAAAATCATTTAGAGTTTTAAAAGCTGAATAATTTAGATGAAACTGAATTCGAAAATGAGATCTCTTAGCTTTAAATTTGATCTTTTATTTAATTGCGCAATTCATTATTAATAGTGGTTGTAGACTTGATTAATCAGATGAATTTGGATGTTTTTAAATTAAATAGCTAATAAATCAATAGTTCAAGGATAAACCTTACTAATGAAAAATCAATCACGGCAAATTCAACTTCTAAATCAAAAAAAATAAGAAAGCAATAAAATAAAATAAGTAATTAAATGATACATTATGATCAAACAATGTACTTTGGATTGTTTCGGTGGCAAAAAGGGAACAAATTTTGCTTCAATAAAAAAGAGAAGCTCAGAAAACAATGGAAAGCAGGTCTTCAAAATTCCAAGCATTCCAATATTTTTTAGATAAAAAAATATTAGAATGCAGTCGGATGAATTCATAGCACTTTGGAAAATGGAAAACTTTGCACGCTATTTTCAATTGCAGTTTCAAATTGTTTCAATATTCTAGAAAATTTGAAAGTCAACAAAAGTGCAGTTGCATACTCTATGTAAATTTGGAGACCAGAAAAAAACAAAATAATAAAATGATATGAAGTTTCGAAACCTAAAAGTGACTTTCGACATTTCATTATTTAAAAATCTAAACATTCAAAAGCTGCCCACCTTCGGAAACCCGCACCTTAAAGAACCTAGGACGACTTCAAACAAATCGCACAGTTCGAGATTAAATTTTGAATCATCGTTGAGAATGGCTAAGCAGAACGCTAAGCTAATGTGCATTGTTTTTCCAAGGTAACCAGAAATTGTCGCCTTACACGATAATTTCTTAGGCGCAGTTTACTCGAAATAGAAACATCATTTTTTAAAAACAGAGTATTAGCCAAGAGACAATTCAAAGGTATGCGCCAATTAAAATGAATTATTTTTATCTTAATCGTTTCATAGAATTTAACGCTTGATATATCGGAATAGCTCAAGAAAAAGTATTTTATAAGCATAACGCAGTTTTTAGAAGCGAATAAAGAAAAGTTTTAATTATCTGATGGTCATTCTTGGTATTACTCGATGATCCATCCGAAATATTTTACACAAAGATCTTATGTATTATGATAGAGCGTCGTAATACATAAGATCTTTTATTTAATTTCGTTTTTTTAGCAATACTTTTTTACAATTTGAACAATAGTGCAATTACAACTTAAGCAGTAGTCAGCAATAAAACATTTCCCAACAATACGTCTTCAGATATCGGTCAAAAACATGAATTTTTCTATCATCTCGTGACAAGTGTACAAAACTTCGCAAATAAAATATATTCACCATACCTTACACCGAGGTTTAGTTTTTTTTTTTTCATTTATTTAAGGAACAGTAAAGAATAAAACAGTGGCGAAACCATTATAAAAATAAAATATTTCGAAGTGCTAGACATGAAACACTGATTGCTCGAAATACTCGTTTGAAAGTCATTGTCGCTGTAATGTTTTACTTGCTTTTTTCTGAAGCAACAAACATTCGCAAGTATGACAGCTGTAATGAACGTTCCAAATCTGCAAGTTGTGCAACTGTTCCGGATAGCTGTACTGCATGTCCTTCGTAAAGAGAGCCTAAAAACGACTGGAGTTCATAAAGAAATTGTAACTAACTAGCAATGTTTTAAAATGATTGAAAACTTATGCAATTAGCATATTAAATTACAATTCTATAAATAAATAAGATTTAACAAAAATCAAAACATTAAGGAATGAAAGAAATAGAAATTAGCATACAAACCCGTATTAGTTCGTTTTGCTCCGTAAACAACTTTACCATCGAATTCATCAACTGGCACGATAAAATCGGTATCGATCTGCGGAACTGTTACACCCAAATGCTCTTCAATATCTTCCAAAAGCTGAAGTTCACAGTAGCAAAATTTAAGTATTTTTACAAGGATTGATTATAATATAAACAAATCTTAAACAATATGATCGCTGTATCAGTGATGCGAAGGATAGAAGAAACATGAGAGAAAATTGATTTCCAACTTCTCAAACAAAAAAATTCAAGTAGATTGAAAAACGAACCTTTGGCTCATCGTACCAAATTGCACAACCTCGTTGTGTCACTAAAGCCGTATTGGAACAATTTACACCACGTGAGGGACATTTATGATACCACACTTTTTCGGGATGTACTGAAACTAAGGAGATCGCCAAACCCATCCTAAAATACGAATAAATTTAGAGAATAAGAAATAATCTATTCCGAACTAGTAGAGTGTGGAATGACATAAGGATGCATCGGTAAATGTGAATAAAATACATAAACTCAAGACATTTAGAATCAACAAATGAGAGCATTTTGTAAAAGGTCGCATTTAAAATCCAGATAAGAAATTAATAGAGAGAGTCGTTATTCTGCGTCCATCTTATAGAAATCTTATAATATGATCCTTTTTTGATTTATTTAAATTCATTTTATAATTACACCTATTCGTTTAAAATGCAAATAACAAAAAATTGAAAAATTATTGGCTTAATAAATTTGATACGTCAAAAGCAAGGAAGGAATTATTATTAAAACGGAGTTAAGAAATTAAAAATAAAAAAATATACCTTTCTGCACGACCTACACGACCAATTCGGTGAAGATAGTTCGCTTTTTCATCGGGTAATGTTACGTTAATCACTACAAAATAGTCGATACAACAAAAAATGAAAAGAAAATTGAAT